CTTAAAATTTGCAAGCAAATGCACACAACATGTACGGTGATTTGCCTGTGGGAATATTCGCATTATGACATTATCCAGTCCCTGTACCACATTTAAACAGAAGATCATAATCACAGTTACAATATCCCAATTACAGAAGCACTGTCACAGTATTTCAGTTACAGTTTGCTCACAACCATAGTTATAACATCTTTAAAAATCACAATAACACAGGAAAAAATTTCAGCATTTTAACAATCACAATAACACAAGAATTTCAGCATTTTAACAATCAGCAACTTAACATTCTAATTTCAGCATTTTAACAATCAAAATAACACAGGAAAAAAACCAACTTAATCGTCACAATAATACTACTTTGAAAATAACAAGTGTAGAGTTAAACAACTACATACTTTCTGCTGATCAGACATAAAACAGAGTGGATGTGTCACATGTCCAATGATTTCTGCCAAGTGGCCAAGAAAAAAAGTCCAACTGTCTGTTCTCTCACTCTCTACCACACCATATGCAATAGGAAATAACCCATTATTACCATCCATTGCAACAGCAGCCAATAGAATACCACCATATGACCCTTTTAGGTGGCACCCATCAAGACCAATGAATGGTCTACAACCCTGTATGAAGCCAATTGTGAGAGCATGAAAAGCAATAAAAATTCTCTTGAAAGGTCTTCTACCATCACTGTCTGGAGCATCAGTTTCTATGGCAACAAGACTTCTTGGATTGCTTCGAAGGATTTCATTTCCATACATTCTTACCATCTCATATGCCTTTGCATGACTTCCCTCCACGTCTTCGAGTGCCTTCCTCTTAATCCTATAACACTGTTGTATTCTGGCTTCTATGTGGAATTTAGTGTTGATCGTTTCTTGTAGACCAAGCAATTTAATTTCGGGATTAGTTCTAATTTCAGTTGCTAATTGTTTAGCAAGCCATGTGGAGGTTGCCTCATCACTGAAGGTATCTCGAACACAAGTATGAGGACCTCTCAAAGTCTTAATCTTATATGTAACACCATCTAGAAGTGGGGATGCATGGATTCTCCAATTACAACCACCATTCCCACAATGACATGTCACCCTTGTCCTCTCATTTTTGTCTCTTATTAACTTAAATCCCTCCTGAACTGCATACTCTTTTAAAATGTCCCTAAAGTGTTTGACATCCATAAACAAATGGCCAACCTCTAACTTGATAATGCCATTACGTTGTATCTGAAATTCACTCCCATACCTATCCATATCAAATGCTTTGGCAGTTGATCTCTCTCATCTCTTGTCCACATTATCATCCGACTCTAAGCTAGAATGACTAAGATCATCATCCCCCGACTCATAATCCGATAACACATCATCACGATAGTCTAGATCTGTCTCTTCCCTATACTCATGGTTGGAGATCACATTTTCTTCTCCATAGTCACCATCCTCTGCAATCAATCCATATACATCATCATCTTCAAAGTCACCATTGTCACTATCCTGGGCATCGCCATGTACAGAGTTCATATTCCCAACTTCGACACTAGCACCATCAAACCTAATATTTGATGCATCATTCCCAAAAACATTATCCATCAGAGTTTCACTGTCNACATTTTTATTTGGGTTAATAATACTTTTGGTCCCTAAAGTATACATTTTTTGTCAGTTTAGTCCTTAATGTATTAATTTTACTTATTTGGTCTTTAACATATTTAATTCGTGTCATTTTAGTCCCTACATAGACGAACTATTAAATTTTTTGACGAAAGTGGTCAGATGTCCTTTTTTCAGAATGTATCACATACCCAATATGTGATCATTATGTCAAAAATTTAACAGTTTGTCTATATAAAAATCAAAATAACACGAATTAAGAACTAAAATGATAAAAAAATACATATTTTAAGAACCAAAAATACTATTAACTTTTTATTTTATTTTTTAGGTATTAAAATAATACACCAAAATAAAAATTGGAAAAACTTCATCCACATCCTCTGTAGTTAATCATATCTTCAGAGACACCCCCTATAGATTCTAAAACTTGACTGCCACCCCCTCTTGTTTGTATTATCTCCTCACTTACACCCCCTATACTTAACAGTCCATTTCTATACTACAAAAAGTGGATGACATGACTGAAATTTTTTATAAAATTCCAAAATTACCCTTTTATGTATAAATAGACTATGCCATCATTTACACAACTTATTTATAGTATTGGAAACCCAATTTGATCAGTAGATAGACTGAGTGGAAAAGTCCAAAAGTGTTGTAGAAGTTCAACATTACAGTTATTAAATTTATCAAAATATTGAACTTATGATTATTCTGTAGGATTAATGTTGTAATTTGTTAGACTGTTTTAATTTACTGTACATCAACTTGAAGTCATTTATAATATATTGATCATCAAAATATAATTAGCATTGTATCACTTTACACCTGAGCTTTACAAAAATTATATCCCTGGGATCATAGTCAAACTACACAAAAAATTACACAAAAAGAGCCCAGTCAACAGTGAAATCATTTTACACTTGAGCTTTAACAAAATTATATCCCTGGGATCATAATCAAACTATACAAAAATTACAGAAAAATGCCCGGTCAATAGTCAAAATACACAATCGAGTCAGCAGCTTATACTTCCCCACAGCCTTGGACAAGCCCAGTTTGTTCCCTTCCAGTGGTTGCCTACAACTCAAGGAACATTACTTAGTACTTAATTACAATATACTAGAAATTACAATAAATTAGAAATTATAATCATAATCACCATAATGTTATAGACTAAAAATTATACCTGCTCATCACAATTCTAAGTTATGGTGGTCCCTTGAGATGTTGATTGTTGAGCCACTTCACCATCAACTTGTCCTTTAACCTTTGAACCCTTGACGGGTGCTCGTTGACATGACCTTCTATTATGCCCAAACTCTTTGCATATGATGCATTTCACACTTAGACACCTTCTAGCAGCACTAGTCCCACTTGCAGGTTCATTTGCCTCCCTATGCCTATTTATTTTGGGTCTACCTGGTAATCTCCTAAGAGGGGGAGGGACTAAAGGATCACCAATAGTTGGTGGCCATTTCCTTTGGTCTTGAAGCGGGTGAATCATTAGTTCATGAGCCTTGAGAAAAGCATATGTCTTGAAGAAGTCATGACAGTATTTTTCAATATTCAACCTTTTGTGAGCAATTGCCTGTGCTGCATGCTTACACTGTATACCTGATATACTCCAAGCCATGCAATCACATGTTCTTTGATCAAGTCTTACTACATATCTCACTCCAGTATCCATAATCTCATAGTTAAACCCACCAGCATGCAAGACAGAACATTTCCTTGATTCTCCAATGATTTTGTTAAGTTTTTTCCTTATGTTCTCTGTGACCAACCCTTCCCAAGTGCTGCCCCTATCATGTCTCTGTTGAATCCTAATCATGAACTTAGTTCTTATCCCGTCTAAAAGTGTAAGTATTGATTTCAACCTTAGTGATCCTACCCAACTATTGAAAGATTCTGTCATGTTATTAGTCACATGGTCACTCTTAATCCGACATTCAAAGGCATGCCTTGCCCATGAGCTTATAGGCAGCTTAAGCAACCACTGGTATGCTTCTGGAGACTTAGACTTGAGTTGCAACATTGTTTCATTAAAATCTTCTTGGTTATAGGCTTTAGCAGCCTTCCAAAATAGTCTTCTAAGTAATACACCAGGAAATTTCTTCTTAAAATTTGCAAGCAAATGCACACAACATGTACGGTGATTTGCCTGTGGGAATATTCGCATTATGACATTATCCAGTCCCTGTACCACATTTAAACAGAAGATCATAATCACAGTTACAATATCCCAATTACAGAAGCACTGTCACAGTATTTCAGTTACAGTTTGCTCACAACCATAGTTATAACATCTTTAAAAATCACAATAACACAGGAAAAAATTTCAGCATTTTAACAATCACAATAACACAAGAATTTCAGCATTTTAACAATCAGCAACTTAACATTCTAATTTCAGCATTTTAACAATCAAAATAACACAGGAAAAAAACCAACTTAATCGTCACAATAATACTACTTTGAAAATAACAAGTGTAGAGTTAAACAACTACATACTTTCTGCTGATCAGACATAAAACAGAGTGGATGTGTCACATGTCCAATGATTTCTGCCAAGTGGCCAAGAAAAAAAGTCCAACTGTCTGTTCTCTCACTCTCTACCACACCATATGCAATAGGAAATAACCCATTATTACCATCCATTGCAACAGCAGCCAATAGAATACCACCATATGACCCTTTTAGGTGGCACCCATCAAGACCAATGAATGGTCTACAACCCTGTATGAAGCCAATTGTGAGAGCATGAAAAGCAATAAAAATTCTCTTGAAAGGTCTTCTACCATCACTGTCTGGAGCATCAGTTTCTATGGCAACAAGACTTCTTGGATTGCTTCGAAGGATTTCATTTCCATACATTCTTACCATCTCATATGCCTTTGCATGACTTCCCTCCACGTCTTCGAGTGCCTTCCTCTTAATCCTATAACACTGTTGTATTCTGGCTTCTATGTGGAATTTAGTGTTGATCGTTTCTTGTAGACCAAGCAATTTAATTTCGGGATTAGTTCTAATTTCAGTTGCTAATTGTTTAGCAAGCCATGTGGAGGTTGCCTCATCACTGAAGGTATCTCGAACACAAGTATGAGGACCTCTCAAAGTCTTAATCTTATATGTAACACCATCTAGAAGTGGGGATGCATGGATTCTCCAATTACAACCACCATTCCCACAATGACATGTCACCCTTGTCCTCTCATTTTTGTCTCTTATTAACTTAAATCCCTCCTGAACTGCATACTCTTTTAAAATGTCCCTAAAGTGTTTGACATCCATAAACAAATGGCCAACCTCTAACTTGATAATGCCATTACGTTGTATCTGAAATTCACTCCCATACCTATCCATATCAAATGCTTTGGCAGTTGATCTCTCTCATCTCTTGTCCACATTATCATCCGACTCTAAGCTAGAATGACTAAGATCATCATCCCCCGACTCATAATCCGATAACACATCATCACGATAGTCTAGATCTATCTCTTCCCTATACTCATGGTTGGAGATCACATTTTCTTCTCCATAGTCACCATCCTCTGCAATCAATCCATATACATCATCATCTTCAAAGTCACCATTGTCACTATCCTGGGCATCGCCATGTACAGAGTTCATATTCCCAACTTCGACACTAGCACCATCAAACCTAATATTTGATGCATCATTCCCAAAAACATTATCCATCAGAGTTTCACTGTCAATAACAAGTGGATGAAGAGTAGGTAACAATGGGGGTAAGTCAACCACAACTGCTTCTACACTAACAAAAAGTTTTATCTGTTTTGTAGTCTCATGCAATGCAAACATCTCCATCAAGCTTATATTAGATGCATCATTCCCAAAAACATTATCCATCAGAGTTTCACTGTCAATAACAAGTGGATGAAGAGTAGGTAACAATGGGGGTAAGTCAACCACAACTGCTTCTACACTAACAAAAAGTTTTATCTGTTTTGTAGTCTCATGCAATGCAAACATCTCCATCAAGCTTTTGTCATGCTCAACCAACATCTTCTCATTTGAACCAGGCACACCACAGTATATATTGACAGCTGCATTTGATCGACTATGGGGCAATGCACGTTCACAAATATCTTTTAACAAGTCCCCATGCCAATATNATCCTCTGTAGTTAATCATATCTTCAGAGACACCCCCCTATAGATTCTAAAACTTCACTGCCACCCCCTCTTGTTTGTATTATCTCCTCACTTACAACCCCCTATACTTAACAGTCCGTTTCTATACTACAAAAAGTGGATGACATGACTGAATTTTTTTTTAAAATTCCAAAATTACCCTTTTATGTATAAATAGACTATGCCATCATTTACACTACTTATTTATAGTATTGGAAACCCAATTTGATCAGTAGATAGAATGAGTGGAAAAGTCCAAAAGTGTTGTAGAAGTTCAACATTTCAGTTATTAAATTTATCAAAATATTGAACTTATGATTATTCTGTAGGATTAATGTTGTAATTTGTTAGACTGTTTTAATTTACTGTACATCAACTTGAAGTCATTTATAATATATTGATCATCAAAATATAATTAGCATTGTATCACTTTACACCTGAGCTTTACAAAAATTATATCCCTGGGATCATAGTCAAACTACACAAAAAATTACACAAAAAGAGCCCAGTCAACAGTGAAATCATTTTACACTTGAGCTTTAACAAAATTATATCCCTGGGATCATAATCAAACTATACAAAAATTACAGAAAAATGCCCGGTCAATAGTCAAAATACACAATCGAGTCAGCAGCTTATACTTCCCCACAACCTTGGACAAGCCCAGTTTGTTCCCTTCCAGTGGTTGCCTACAACTCAAGGAACATTACTTAGTACTTAATTACAATATACTAGAAATTACAATAAATTAGAAATTATAATCATAATCACCATAATGTTATAGACTAAAAATTATACCTGCTCATCACAATTCTAAGTTATGGTGGTCCCTTGAGATGTTGATTGTTGAGCCACTTCACCATCAACTTGTCCTTTAACCTTTGAACCCTTGACGGGTGCTCGTTGACATGACCTTCTATTATGCCCAAACTCTTTGCATATGATGCATTTCACACTTAGACACCTTCTAGCAGCACTAGTCCCACTTGCAGGTTCATTTGCCTCCCTATGCCTATTTATTTTGGGTCTACCTGGTAATCTCCTAAGAGGGGGAGGGACTAAAGGATCACCAATAGTTGGTGGCCATTTCCTTTGGTCTTGAAGCGGGTGAATCATTAGTTCATGAGCCTTAAGAAAAGCATATGTCTTGAAGAAGTCATGACAGTATTTTTCAATATTCAACCTTTTGTGAGCAATTGCCTGTGCTGCATGCTTACACTGTATACCTGATATACTCCAAGCCATGCAATCACATGTTCTTTGATCAAGTCTTACTACATATCTCACTCCAGTATCCATAATCTCATAGTTAAACCCACCAGCATGCAAGACAGAACATTTCCTTGATTCTCCAATGATTTTGTTAAGTTTTTTCCTTATGTTCTCTGTGACCAACCCTTCCCAAGTGCTGCCCCTATCATGTCTCTGTTGAATCCTAATCATGAACTTAGTTCTTATCCCGTCTAAAAGTGTAAGTATTGATTTCAACCTTAGTGATCCTACCCAACTATTGAAAGATTCTGTCATGTTATTAGTCACATGGTCACTCTTAATCCGACATTCAAAGGCATGCCTTGCCCATGAGCTTATAGGCAGCTTAAGCAACCACTGGTATGCTTCTGGAGACTTAGACTTGAGTTGCAACATTGTTTCATTAAAATCTTCTTGGTTATAGGCTTTAGCAGCCTTCCAAAATAGTCTTCTAAGTAATACACCAGGAAATTTCTTCTTAAAATTCGCAAGCAAATGCACACAACATGTACGGTGATTTGCCTGTGGGAATATTCGCATTATGACATTATCCAGTCCCTGTACCACATTTAAACAGAAGATCATAATCACAGTTACAATATCCCAATTACAGAAGCACTGTCACAGTATTTCAGTTACAGTTTGCTCACAACCATAGTTATAACATCTTTAAAAATCACAATAACACAGGAAAAAATTTCAGCATTTTAACAATCACAATAACACAAGAATTTCAGCATTTTAACAATCAGCAACTTAACATTCTAATTTCAGCATTTTAACAATCAAAATAACACAGGAAAAAAACCAACTTAATCGTCACAATAATACTACTTTGAAAATAACAAGTGTAGAGTTAAACAACTACATACTTTCTGCTGATCAGACATAAAACAGAGTGGATGTGTCACATGTCCAATGATTTCTGCCAAGTGGCCAAGAAAAAAAGTCCAACTGTCTGTTCTCTCACTCTCTACCACACCATATGCAATAGGAAATAACCCATTATTACCATCCATTGCAACAGCAGCCAATAGAATACCACCATATGACCCTTTTAGGTGGCACCCATCAAGACCAATGAATGGTCTACAACCCTGTATGAAGCCAATTGTGAGAGCATGAAAAGCAATAAAAATTCTCTTGAAAGGTCTTCTACCATCACTGTCTGGAGCATCAGTTTCTATGGCAACAAGACTTCTTGGATTGCTTCGAAGGATTTCATTTCCATACATTCTTACCATCTCATATGCCTTTGCATGACTTCCCTCCACGTCTTCGAGTGCCTTCCTCTTAATCCTATAACACTGTTGTATTCTGGCTTCTATGTGGAATTTAGTGTTGATCGTTTCTTGTAGACCAAGCAATTTAATTTCGGGATTAGTTCTAATTTCAGTTGCTAATTGTTTAGCAAGCCATGTGGAGGTTGCCTCATCACTGAAGGTATCTCTAACACAAGTATGAGGACCTCTCAAAGTCTTAATCTTATATGTAACACCATCTAGAAGTGGGGATGCATGGATTCTCCAATTACAACCACCATTCCCACAATGACATGTCACCCTTGTCCTCTCATTTTTGTCTCTTATTAACTTAAATCCCTCCTGAACTGCATACTCTTTTAAAATGTCCCTAAAGTGTTTGACATCCATAAACAAATGGCCAACCTCTAACTTGATAATGCCATTACGTTGTATCTGAAATTCACTCCCATACCTATCCATATCAAATGCTTTGGCAGTTGATCTCTCTCATCTCTTGTCCACATTATCATCCGACTCTAAGCTAGAATGACTAAGATCATCATCCCCCGACTCATAATCCGATAACACATCATCACGATAGTCTAGATCTATCTCTTCCCTATACTCATGGTTGGAGATCACATTTTCTTCTCCATAGTCACCATCCTCTGCAATCAATCCATATACATCATCATCTTCAAAGTCACCATTGTCACTATCCTGGGCATCGCCATGTACAGAGTTCATATTCCCAACTTCGACACTAGCACCATCAAACCTAATATTTGATGCATCATTCCCAAAAACATTATCCATCAGAGTTTCACTGTCAATAACAAGTGGATGAAGAGTAGGTAACAATGGGGGTAAGTCAACCACAACTGCTTCTACACTAACAAAAAGTTTTATCTGTTTTGTAGTCTCATGCAATGCAAACATCTCCATCAACCTAATATTTGATGCATCATTCCCAAAAACATTATCCATCAGAGTTTCACTGTCAATAACAAGTGGATGAAGAGTAGGTAACAATGGGGGTAAGTCAACCACAACTGCTTCTACACTAACAAAAAGTTTTATCTGTTTTGTAGTCTCATGCAATGCAAACATCTCCATCAACCTAATATTTGATGCATCATTCCCAAAAACATTATCCATCAGAGTTTCACTGTCAATAACAAGTGGATGAAGAGTAGGTAACAATGGGGGTAAGTCAACCACAACTGCTTCTACACTAACAAAAAGTTTTATCTGTTTTGTAGTCTCATGCAATGCAAACATCTCCATCAACCTAATATTTGATGCATCATTCCCAAAAACATTATCCATCAGAGTTTCACTGTCAATAACAAGTGGATGAAGAGTAGGTAACAATGGGGGTAAGTCAACCACAACTGCTTCTACACTAACAAAAAGTTTTATCTGTTTTGTAGTCTCATGCAATGCAAACATCTCCATCAACCTAATATTTGATGCATCATTCCCAAAAACATTATCCATCAGAGTTTCACTGTCAATAACAAGTGGATGAAGAGTAGGTAACAATGGGGGTAAGTCAACCACAACTGCTTCTACACTAACAAAAAGTTTTATCTGTTTTGTAGTCTCATGCAATGCAAACATCTCCATCAAGCTTTTGTCATGCTCAACATCTTCTCATTTGAACCAGGCACACCACAGTATATATTGACAGCTGCATTTGATCGACTATGGGGCAATGCACGTTCACAAATATCTTTTAACAAGTCCCCATGCCAATATTTATCTGAATCAATATTCTGTATATTGTACTGTTTGTGATCATATTCAAAGAGCAAATCAAGACAAACTACAACCATATCTGTGAATTTTGAAATAATAAAAACCAGTCACAAATATGAAGAAAAAAACACATCTTCACTAAACAAAAAAAAAAAACTCAATATAATATTGGCAAAATAACAAACCATACTCAAATAAAATAGTTTTAATATTGCATCTAATCTCGCCTTCAAACAACTAAAACCTCTTTCTTAGGAAAAAAAATATATAACTTAGAAAAAATATTAGATAGCTTTGGATCAACAAAACCACAGGTAAATCATAGACAGTTGGCATGAAATGTAATGAAACTAGTACAAAAAATCACATGAGTGCAACAAAAAAGTTAACTGGTCTNCGCCTTCAAACAACTAAAACCTCTTTCTTAGGAAAAAAAATATATAACTTAGAAAAAATATTAGATAGCTTTGGATCAACAAAACCACAGGTAAATCATAGACAGTTGGCATGAAATGTAATGAAACTAGTACAAAAAATCACATGAGTGCAACAAAAAAGTTAACTGGTCTAACATGNTAAGTTATGGTGGTCCCTTGAGATGTTGATTGTTGAGCCACTTCACCATCAACTTGTCCTTTAACCTTTGAACCCTTGACGGGTGCTCGTTGACATGACCTTCTATTATGCCCAAACTCTTTGCATATGATGCATTTCACACTTAGACACCTTCTAGCAGCACTAGTCCCACTTGCAGGTTCATTTGCCTCCCTATGCCTATTTATTTTGGGTCTACCTGGTAATCTCCTAAGAGGGGGAGGGACTAAAGGATCACCAATAGTTGGTGGCCATTTCCTTTGGTCTTGAAGCGGGTGAATCATTAGTTCATGAGCCTTGAGAAAAGCATATGTCTTGAAGAAGTCATGACAGTATTTTTCAATATTCAACCTTTTGTGAGCAATTGCCTGTGCTGCATGCTTACACTGTATACCTGATATACTCCAAGCCATGCAATCACATGTTCTTTGATCAAGTCTTACTACATATCTCACTCCAGTATCCATAATCTCATAGTTAAACCCACCAGCATGCAAGACAGAACATTTCCTTGATTCTCCAATGATTTTGTTAAGTTTTTTCCTTATGTTCTCTGTGACCAACCCTTCCCAAGTGCTGCCCCTATCATGTCTCTGTTGAATCCTAATCATGAACTTAGTTCTTATCCCGTCTAAAAGTGTAAGTATTGATTTCAACCTTAGTGATCCTACCCAACTATTGAAAGATTCTGTCATGTTATTAGTCACATGGTCACTCTTAATCCGACATTCAAAGGCATGCCTTGCCCATGAGCTTATAGGCAGCTTAAGCAACCACTGGTATGCTTCTGGAGACTTAGACTTGAGTTGCAACATTGTTTCATTAAAATCTTCTTGGTTATAGGCTTTAGCAGCCTTCCAAAATAGTCTTCTAAGTAATACACCAGGAAATTTCTTCTTAAAATTTGCAAGCAAATGCACACAACATGTACGGTGATTTGCCTGTGGGAATATTCGCATTATGACATTATCCAGTCCCTGTACCACATTTAAACAGAAGATCATAATCACAGTTACAATATCCCAATTACAGAAGCACTGTCACAGTATTTCAGTTACAGTTTGCTCACAACCATAGTTATAACATCTTTAAAAATCACAATAACACAGGAAAAAATTTCAGCATTTTAACAATCACAATAACACAAGAATTTCAGCATTTTAACAATCAGCAACTTAACATTCTAATTTCAGCATTTTAACAATCAAAATAACACAGGAAAAAAACCAACTTAATCGTCACAATAATACTACTTTGAAAATAACAAGTGTAGAGTTAAACAACTACATACTTTCTGCTGATCAGACATAAAACAGAGTGGATGTGTCACATGTCCAATGATTTCTGCCAAGTGGCCAAGAAAAAAAGTCCAACTGTCTGTTCTCTCACTCTCTACCACACCATATGCAATAGGAAATAACCCATTATTACCATCCATTGCAACAGCAGCCAATAGAATACCACCATNAGATAGTATATGGGTGGTTGCCAATGTGGAAACAGAGGGAAAGAAATTCGTTTGATTCATTTGCTTTTGTTTCTAGCTAATGACCTTGAACTACTTGGAACATGATTGAATCGGAGCCTTAGGCTTTGTAAATGATATTTCTTGTTGGTAAATTTCACGTTACCCTATGGTTAGACCCTGTTGTACTTCATCCCCTCACATTCAAACCTGGTCATCTTTAGTGATTTGGGGGCCAAAGTTAACAATTAACATCCTTAATGGCCCTGATAAAATGACGGTGATACCATCTTACTTTTCTTCTTTTTCTTGGTGGAAGAAGTAGAAAAAGAGAGAGTACACTGTTAGTTGTTCGTTTTGTGCCTAAACCTCACTGAGTACTATGTGGCTACATTTGAGTGTGCAGGGGATGAATAGTGACAGGGTTTAATCATCGGGGTAGGGTATATTTGTTTGCACTTCGGTTTTGAACTTAATATTCAATTTTCTATGATGATACTTTGAAAATTCATCTGTATGGACTTGTTCTCTAANCGATGATGACTTGATCTTCTTGAAGCACAAGTGAATCGAGCCTCTTATCATTCAATCATTTTCGACTCCAAGGATTCTTCTTTGACTCCAAGGATTCAAACGGTAATCAAGTAGAAAACTACATACTTTCATAGAACAAGCAATCAAGCGATTGGATCTCCTCTCCCTCAATCCCTCTCTCTCTCTCTCTCACTCTCACTCTCTCTGTGTGTGAACCAGAAGGCAAAAACGAGTGGCTGAACTCACTCTAGTTCTAGACCAAAAAATAAAAAACTCACTCTAGTTGCTTTATTTTTATAGGTCTGGTTAGTATATCAACCCAAGGTTAAACACAAGTTTGTTATTTATGTATATATTTATGTATATATAATGTAATATATGAGAAAAATATATATAGATACATATTATAGATATAAAATATTTCATGGGCATTTTAGTAAATTTACTATATCTGTTAACGTCGTCAGCCAGTAACAACTGACAAGGGGTGACAGTGTAGTTTTTGAATTTATAGGGGGTGTCTCTGAAGATATGACTAACTATAGGGGGTGTCACTGAAATTTTTCCATAAAAATTTGATCATGGACGATCATTAGAAGATTCTATTTCCCAAAAATGGGCTTCCATTTTTTTTTTTTAAATATCGGCCGCGTAATCAGCTAATCAACTCCCTCCCTCTCCTCTCTCTCCTTCTCTCTCTCTCTCCCCACATCTATAAACTTGTACTGCATTGGTCCTGGATTTTTGTCATTCTCTCTCAAGGGTAACAAGAGCATTCGGATATCTTTTTGATTTAATAAGGTAATATTTCTTTACATTTTTCCCCTGTCATTGTTTTAGTTTATACCCACATCCACATAGTTCCAGCTCAAAACCCTTGATTGCAAATATGTTGCTGCATTCTCTTTATCTCGTTGCTTAAACTACTCACTTGTGGAGTTTTTTTTCCGATTGTTTTTACCTTCTTTTGGTTCTTAGAAGTAATGGAAATCATCTCTTTGTCAATTTTCCGGCGATCTTTTCACCTGCTTTCCAATTTTCTGGCGATCTTTCCACCTGCTTTCCAATTTTCCGGCAGCCTTATCACCTTCTCGACAACCCCTTTTCACCATCTGTAAATTCTTCGCCCCCTTTTCAATTTCTTGGTAGCTTCCTGGCCTTTTTTTCAAGGGGGAAAAAGAAGAAGAAGCTCTTGTAAACCAAATATAGAAAATGTTGAATCAAGTGAAACCAAATGGGGCCTTATTGTTTGAATCTTTTTGCTTGTTAGTAGTAATTGATCCATCAATTGGTTAAGATAGTATATGGGTGGTTGCCAATGTGGAAACAGAGGGAAAGAAATTCGTTTGATTCATTTGCTTTTGTTTCTAGCTAATGACCTTGAACTACTTGGAACATGATTGAATCGGAGCCTTAGGCTTTGTAAATGATATTTCTTGTTGGTAAATTTCACGTTACCCTATGGTTAGACCCTGTTGTACTTCATCCCCTCACATTCAAACCTGGTCATCTTTAGTGATTTGGGGGCCAAAGTTAACAATTAACATCCTTAATGGCCCTGATAAAATGACGGTGATACCATCTTACTTTTCTTCTTTTTCTTGGTGGAAGAAGTAGAAAAAGAGAGAGTACACTGTTAGTTGTTCGTTTTGTGCCTAAACCTCACTGAGTACTATGTGGCTACATTTGAGTGTGCAGGGGATGAATAGTGACAGGGTTTAATCATCGGGGTAGGGTATATTTGTTTGCACTTCGGTTTTGAACTTAATATTCAATTTTCTATGATGATACTTTGAAAATTCATCTGTATGGACTTGTTCTCTAATATTTTTATGAAAGATGGTCGTAATTCATTGAGGTCATCTTTATTTAACACATAAGAATATGTAGCTTTAAATCACAATATCGTACTGAAGTTCAAAGTCAAATATTGATGAATCACTGGTTTCACATTGTAAGTGGCTGATAAAAGTATTCTTGATGTGGTTAGTTATGATATTGAAGTTTGAGATTTGTTGGAACTTTGAAGACATGTTTCCCGACTTCTGAAATTGTTTCCTTTGTTTTTCTTTTATATATAACTCTGGAAACTGTTCTGAATTCTGTAAGAACATATTTATTGCATTAAAAAGTTTAAAAAGCAGAGCTGCCTGCGGATGAACGTTTAACCTAGAAATGACATTTCTTCTTTCCTCTTTTGTTTACTATGATTTCAGAGTGCATTGTGAAGTAAATGAAATGGAAAATTGGTCTAATCTACCAAAGGACCTACTGACTCACATAGCTGAATGCTTCATTTACTTAGATGATTTCTTGTGCTTTGGTGCTGTGTGCAAGGCNTAAAACTAACATCATTCTGAATGTATTACACACTTGGATTGTGAACTAACTTTTAACTTCTTGGTGAAGTGCAGATCAAAGATGCTTGTATCTTTATTTTGGGCTTTCACATAACAATAACTATGTGTATTAGGGCCAGATTATTTTTGTTATTCTTGTGATAATGTTTTCTTTTGGGGTACTGCTTGATGGGGACAGCTATATATATGGCTTGTTATCATCTTGGAAGGTAAATGATTCTATTAAATTGAAAATAATAATATAAAATAAAGTTCAAAACACGTCTAGAAAGGGACACGGACACGATACTTTTTATCATCATATAATGTTGGTTAGTGAAATATTTCTGGCAGATAACTGCATTGATCTCTTCTTCTTCTTGTTAAGTTTTTTAGCTTTGCAGATGACTACTTAACAAAATAAAGTTTCGTTGGGGGACTCAAACAATTAAAAGGGAAAAAAAATAGAGAATGCAAATAGGACCCTGACGAAATGTATGAGCGTACCGACAAGTTATATACCTTTTTGACAAGAACAAGNATAAAGTTTCGTTGGGGGACTCAAACAATTAAAAGGGAAAAAAAATAGAGAATGCAAATAGGATCCTGACGAAATGTATGAGCGTACCGACAAGTTATATACCTTTTTGACAAGAACAAGAGTTATATAATACACCCAGGAAACCACCACCAACTATCCGTCCATTATCTCTCTCTCACGAAAAAAATCAATGACAGATAAATCTAACAAATTAATCCTATTATTTCTTGGCAAAATGTAATAAAAAATCCCCTGTTTTATTAATACAGAGGATTTACATTTGAATAAATAAGGTTTTCCTAGAAATTTCTTCAATATGAAAAGCTCCATAGCCATTCTGACCGGTAGACATNATCCATTCCGACCGGTAGACATAAACCGGATTCTAATCTCTGCATTTCATCGATCAGACGTCGGCTTCTCCAATGAGGTGAACATGAAATTGCCGGAAAATATAGCTTCTTNAGCCATTCTGACCGGTAGACATATAAACCGGATTCTAATCTCTGCATTTCATCGATTAGACGTCGGCTTCTCCAATGAGGTGAACATGAAATTGCCGGAAAATATAGCTTCTTTGTCTGTCCATCCAAAATCACAATTTTGCCAACAAGAAATTGTAGGAGCAGATTTAGTGGGAAATCATAGGGGAGACAATTACAAAACAAAAATTATCCAGCAAGTCCATTCAATAAACCCACCTACCATTGTTGTTCTTAAGAAGGAAAATCAAAGTTGGCAG